AACGTGCTTAATGTAATTTTCTTATGTGGCCCCTCGATTGGGCTTCTTGCCTATGAAGAGTGTTTTCGGTGTGTATGTGGATGCATGACAGCGTGTATATTCTTCTTGGCTTCAGCCGCGCTTGCGCTCGCTCATCTGTTCCACTCAACTTCGACTATAACAACGATGACAACAACTTCGACTATAACAACAGTGCCCATCACGATGACATCTGTTACACAACTTTTGACAATAACTGCCCTGTCGACAATGAGTAAAACAACTGATACACCAACAACTCCTCTCGTCGTGACGACCGCCATGGTAAGTATCAATTGCACTCCCTCACCCCTCACTTTGGGTGGGGTTTCTTGGAAGGCTTGGGAGTATCTGCTGCGGTTGAAGGGTGGGCAAAGGGTTCTGCTCGTCGATCCCACTGTGCTTCCCGATTATCTTTGGGCGCCCTTCACAGTGTCACAACAGGGGAGGGAGCTGATTGGGGGTCGGGGTGAGGGGGGGCTTAGCCATGAGTTATTTCCGTGGGACTCTGGTGGGGAGAGGATGGAAGGGGAAGGCTGCTGTGAGGAGGGTTTAGGATAGCTCTTGAAAGATGCCTCGTCGTCTCCTTGCTCACTCTATGTTTCACGGGGAGTTCTGAAATAAAATTTATGTGTTTGCCCGCGAGTGTATCAATGACGTGTTGTCCTGTGTTATACTGTGCTGCGGTTCGCAGACAGGGTGACAAGTGTACGTTGCATTTCGGGGTAAATCTGGGCAGATGTGGGGGACACGTGTTATATTCTCTTAGGGATTAACTGGGATCTACATTCTGTTTGACTTCCTTTGCCCTGCCATAACCTTACCCCCTGTTGTAGGGTATGATTGCTTATGGGAAACTATGGTAGGACAAAGTTCGATTTTGGCATGCAGCGGGGGCAATCCTGCCCTGGTGGGGAAGCAATCAATGCCCAACTGCGGGTTCTGACTTCGGATTAAACTACCTAGGGTTAGACTTGGAATTTTGTCCAACGCAGACCCTCTTTGTCCTGCTATTCTCCCCCCCTACTACTTCTTACTGTGCTAAGCGGTCTGAATAGTCGCAGTCGAAGCTAAGCAGGGTACAGTTTTTTATTTTGTGTGGAGTGGGGTTAATCCTTCCTTACTGGGAAGCAATCAATGCCCCTTGCCAGTACTATATCTCTGCCGAATAGGGAACTTGTTTCTATGGGAGCAGTGGCTGAGGCGCTTCCAACCCTAATGGGAGGAGGCGTGTGTTTGTGTTGTAGTCGACCTTATAATTTGAGTCTTGGGCATTGGGCCCGTTTTCCCAAAAAAAAAGAAAAAAAAAAAAAGAGAAAAAAAAGAGAAAAGATTGCTATCTGTTGGGAGCTGTTGGTTATATTCTATCAAAACGTCTCCTAAGATAGCTTCCACTGTGTATACCATTTGAGCATGGATAGTGGTTTCATCCTTCGCCCAATCAAGTGGGCACCAGACCGCATGGCCCAACTCTAGTTCCTTCAACTCTGACTCTGTGGGCCTGACATCAAAGGTAGCCACGTACAGATGTAAACGATTCCCTGTAGCACGTGGGCGCGAGATCTTCCTTGTCCCGATTCGAAGGACAAGCTTGACTGCCACCTTTGGGCCCAAATAGGCTCGCACCATGGACAACATTTGGTTCCTGCTTGGATTGCCGGTAACCGAACAGGGAGTGAGATGCTTAATTTTAGATTC